CAGGGGCAGTTTCTTCCACCACTCCAGTGGATTTGCTGAGAATTCTCTTCAATTTCGGGTGCAAATTGAAACATTCAGCTATAGAGTGCCCGTGAGCTTTACAATGAGTGCAAAAATCAAGAATTTTTTCAAACTCAACTTTTTGTAAATACCCTAGAGCCTTCGACCCAACCCAAACTTCCTTAGCATGTTTTTTTGTAATATCCACTTCCACTAGAATCCTAGCTACTAACGGTCTAGTTCTAGAAGCAGTAGCTTGGTCCATTTGCAAAGGCCGACCAAAGATAGATCCTAAAGCGTGTAAAACCGTAGGGTTGAAAAAATGCAATCTTAAATTTGGAAAAGATATCCAGATCGGAACTATAGGAGATTCCTCCTTGACATCGAAAAACGGCGTCCACTTTAAAATACGCATTTGGCAATTCAAAATGAAATACGATCTTCTCGCAAAAACCCGACTATAATCCAAATCATTAGAAAGTTGGATCGCCACATGCTTAGAATCCAGTAAACCAACCGAAAAAAAACCCGTAAGTTTCAGATTTCCAAAAAAAACAATCGTATAGCATCAAGGTTTGGACGACGAACTCCAAATTTACCGACAAGGGTATACCGAAAAGGAGAAGCAAGCTTAAGAACTTCATCATCAGAAATTAAAACAGCAGGAACTCCGTTAAAGGTCGAAGTAGATAGATATGAAACGATATCACCTGCAGAACCGGCAAGCACATCATTAAAAGATCTGGATTTAGACGGAGAGGTCGTATCAGCATCAATATTGAAAAACCCTTTGTTTTGAACTTGAGTTTTCAAAGAAACATTCCCCCAAGCCGAGAAGGAAGCATCCCCCGCCATAGACTTAGGCCCAAAACGGGCCAAAAACAGCAAAGCACCCCAGAAGGCAACGATCTTTTGAAAATTCACACGAAAAAGCCACGGAACAGCAGTAGAGAACGGCCGAGAGAACGAAGGAGGCGGAAACCCTAATTCGCTAGAGCGGCGCTAGGGTTTATGACATGAATTATAACTTGATTTGAACAATCATGTAATACTTGAGCTCAAACTTGAGCTTAATTTGCATACAAAGTAGACATGACATGAACTCAATTTGAACTTGGTCTTGAACCTTACAAAATCACATGGAACTTATTACACACAAAGGATAATAAATTGAAAAAAATTGCTTGAGCATTGAATGAGCAACAATAACTCAAATGCCATCTTTGGTTAATAAGAATGTGTAATCTAAATTACAAATAGATACACAAGGCTACTTTAATGAATATAATTCACATGTGAGATATTTCTCTCACAAATGATTATGAGACTTGTGCAAACAATTAATTTGGGACAAATGCATTGGTCATAAGGATGTATAATGAATGCAACAAGCATCGACATGCAAGCAAGTGAAAATGCTTAAATCAAGTGATAATTTTGGTCACACAAATAAGCATTAACAAATCAAATTGAAGGTGTAAGATTTTTCTTATAAAAATGACTCATGATGAATTGCTAAACACCTACTTGTGAGCTCATATAATAAGCCACAATCAACCTAAAGAGAGAGTATATAACATAAGTGCATGCTATCCATCTTAATCATGAATGACATATTCATGAAGAACATATGAAGAATATGAAATGAATGTCAAGATCTCCCTCCAATCAATGATAACTATTTTGTAGACATATGCAGTAGTTATTTACAAATGTTAAAGGTTGACGTATGAAGAACCTATTGAAATTGTTTGCAAGCAAAGATGCAAGGCATGCAATATGTATTAAAGGGTACCATTGCCAGTTGGGATGCAAATAATAATCACTAATTTTTAGCAAGTATATGTGATACAATTGCAAGAAGATGCACAAGAATGTCTCAACAAACTCTACAAAATCATATGTTGATAATAGAAGTATCCTTATCAATCTTGTGAGAAGACAAGGTAGTCATTGCAAACAATAAAGTCTCTTGCCAACACACTTAATGTAGCATGCAATGATTACAGAGATACCTCTATAGTCAATAGCAATCCAGTGCTAGACAAATATTTTGTAACATTGCCTTGTGAATAACAAAGCTGAAGCTGATACAGTCGACACAACAATCATTACAAGGCAATATAAATTGTCCACGAATGATTATAGAAGGCATGTCTACAAACAAGTACATAAAGAATGGTGGAAGAGACAGCATGTCCGTAGCACATTCAATGTACCTACAAATTATTATGGCAAAGACACTAACACCTCTATGGTTGATAATTGTCCAACGCACTGGCCCTCTATGAACAATGACAAATGATGTATAGTGAAGTACAAATATCTCAGGGGTTGTAGAATATTCATCATACAAACTATATGTTATTGCAGGCAGAAGCAAATGAGATACGATAAGTACAAATACATGCAATTATCTACAAACAAAAGCAGGAGATTAGTTTGTGTACTACAATCTACCTGCATAAATCGTACGAGTAGTGCACGACAATCTACCTGTACGAAGCATCGAACGACTCTATTCAGAAGCTGCTACGCCAAGCCACCGGATCTGCAACCCCCATACAAGCAGACAGAAGGCGTATACAAACACTTTCAAAGTACCCCCACACGTGCACCGTAGTTTGTATACACATAGGTACACTAAAAGGAGTAAAAGCAATTGTAAAACCCGCATGGGCCCCGGCAAGCGTGTTATTGGTACACACGTGACGTCTAGGGATGTTGCGCGGGTTATTAAATTTGAACCTGATCCTCCTAAGGAGATGAAAAGGAGTAGACAGTGTGCAGTTATAAAATGCCCCAAAACACCCGCATGGGCCCCGACGAGCGTGTTATTTGTACACACGTGACGTCTAGGGATGCTGCGCGGGTTAGTAAGTGAATTCAAACAACTTTAGGAGTCGACAGGGTTCTAACCATTAAATAAATATACAGTTTTAACGACCGCTATATTTGTCTTAATACATTCATATTAGGCCTTCAAGTCCTATAACAATGAGAATTCACTATCAAGGACATAAAACCTACGAAACTCGATTCTCTGTCGACTGCCCGACAGTGTTGACAAGGTTCAATCCATAAAGAAAAATGATCACAAACACCTCGATGATGGCCGTGTTGAATGCTAATCTCAACCGGAGGGATTCACAAATATTTTTAAATGCCTCCTAAAATCCATTCAAAATCCAAAACTCCACAAAAATATCAAAATCCAAAAATTCCAAAGATCATCCAAAATCCCAAATTCTAAAATATTTAAAATAAAAATCAATCCATCAATCACTCAAAGTAAAATCTATCCACCCTCCGCAGTAGTTTATTGAGGTGGATAAATCTGAAAACAACTTTAGCTCACATAGAGTTAAATGCCTGGTCGAAAATATCACTAGGATCCATTCTAAAACAATCTCCTGCCAATAAGGACATGGTACGTGTCCTCTAACTGGCAGTTCGCCGTCAAATGGCACCGCAGGATAAACGGTTATGCCCAGGGCCCTTTGAACCGAGTGGTTTTGCCGCCAAATGGCATCACAAAATACCAGTTATGGCCAGCGCCGATACGCTTCTTATTGGCATCAAATCCTTGAGATATGAATCAATAGGATATGATCGATAGGGCACAAAGCCCTCTGTTAGCTAAGGTGGATTCTAATTTTTCCCCTTAGACAAACACTCATCCCAGGTCTACAAGGTCCCCTTGGACGAAGCAACTCATGGCTGCCGATAAGGATCCTTCTGTCAGGTTGGGTCGACTACCTCCTCTGACTAAGTAGACCAGGGACCACGATGGCCCGGGACGACGGAACCCATGGCTGCCGATAAGGATCCTTCTATCATCCATTCCCCCACCATCCGCTTTAAGTACAAGATGGTGCAATTTCTATTTTAAATATCAAATATTTCAAATTCTCATATACAAACCTATGCTGCTACTATATGCCAGATAACACATATTCTCTATGTATCTAATTGACGACTAGCCTTAATCGAAAGTTCTCTCTAGTGATCGGGAGGGGTAATTAACTATATGGGCTTGCGCCTATAGGAAACCAGAACTCAGATCATAAAGTCCTCACCAAATGAGGGCGAAATCTCTGGGTAGTGTCTTATCTACAAACCCATCTGCCTTCCAAAATTTTCCTCAGAACTTATTCAGCTAAAACTCCCTCGCCAAAAAAAAAACGCGGCGGGGAGGCCGGGGCCGAATTTTCGGAGCCCACAAATACATAGGTGTAGCCCCTTCCCTGTTAACTGAGTAGTAAAGCTTCTCTGACCTATTTGGTGTCCCCATGAACTCAAAGCTACTTTCTAAGCCACTTGATGTATTGGAGGGCCTTAGTTGTAAAGAGGAACGATCTAAACTAGATCTTTCAGAGATAGGAAATGATATTTCTGAGCTCACAAATGATAAATCAATTTATGGCACTGAGATTTACATAAGAGATCTTTGGCTTGGTCCAGATCGAGTGAATGGTGACCTTATTATTTCCCTTTCCTCACTAATCATGTCACGTGGAGGCCTCTTGACGACTTGGATCTTGATACTTGGCTGTGTAAGTATTAATAATATTATATAAAGAATTAAAGCTCGGTTCAATTAAAGCTCGTTCATGATCGTTTAATCTAATTTAAATATATTTTGTAATTTTAGAAAAAGGAACCACTGGCTCGTAGGTTTTATTTCTTTTTATCTTGTAGCTATTTCGAGCATTAGTGAGCTGGAGGTTCCTTCTAATGACCTTGTAACCGCTTTTTTGGAAATTAACACGTAGGCCCCGCCGTGGGTTTAAAAAAAAAACTAACTAAACAAACAAACTTGAACAACATTTTAAATACTCGGTCCTTAAATAAACAAGTTTGAACACTAATGTGTTCAGTTAAAATTGATAAATATATAAATAGAAATATTTGAATTTTATTATAATATAATGATATAATTATTTTTAATTAATAAAATTTAAAGTGATGAAAATTATAATATATGTTAACATAATTTATTTTTTATCAATATTTTTTTTACTTTAAAAATATACTATAAATTAAAATGTATTAATATTTTGAACACAGACATTTACGCTATAATTAATATATTAATACTCCTCCATAGCTGTCTCTTGCGAGGGGTTTTGTTGGGCACTGCAGCTTTCGCCTCTTCTTGTAATTGTTTTTTCCTGTCAAAGTACTGGTTCATATTTTCAAAGGCTTCTTCTCCCATATTAGAAATCCAACCTGGACCAATATACAAGCAGAGCATCAATATTCACACAGGAAATGAAGATCTGAACTTTTATGAGCAGCTTCTTCCTGTAATGAATTGTTTTTATGTATATATATATGCTACTTCATAATCCTGTATATAAATGTTGTGACAAAAAGAGCTTAGAAACAACAACAATAAAGCTTACATGCCTCTTTTTCCGCAATTGGAAGAACAACATGGACTTCAATCTGAGAGCCACTCATATCGTTTACTTAGTAGAGAAATTTACTACAACTGCAAACAAAAAAAAGGCTTGTAAATTCAAAAAAAAAAAAAATCCCATTGCACCAAAAAAAAAAATTCGAAAAGACCAAAAGAGCAGCCTCTAACGTCAAAATGATTATATTCACTATAGAATTGCACTTCAGAAAATCAGAAAAGAAAATGAGTGGAAGGTGCATGCAACCAATTAAATATATGAAAAAGAAATAGATAAACCACAAATATGAAAATAAAACATAACAAAAGTACGAACACCATTAAACATCTTAGTTATGGGTTGGATATTACAAGCTAGCTAGAGAGCGAGAGAGGAAAGGGAGGGGGAAGGAGTTTAGTCTTCTTTGGAAACAAGTGACGAGCTTTGTTTACCTGTAACTGAAGGCAACAAATTAAAGAGTCCCTTTTTATAGAGGGGGAAAGAATTAGTATCACTTTATTAATACATATTATTGGAATAGGAAGGTTTTATGGAGAAGAATGTAAAGAATATGTCCCGTAAGGCATCAGATGCTTCTAAATCTACAAAAGCTTGAAGGATATTGCACCAAAAAAATATCAAAGAGATCAATAGAGCAACCTATAACAGCAGGAAAATATGAAGGTGTGACCAAAAATACTAAAAAGAAATAGATAAATCTCAAATATGAGAATAAAACATAGCAGAAGTATGAACATCATTAAAACATCTAAGTTATGGGTCGGATATTACAAGATAGAGAGTGAGAGAGTAAAGGGAGGGAAGGAGTTAATTTAGTCTTCTTTGGAGGGAGAAAATTTTTGTTTCACTTTATTAGTATGTATTGTTGGAATAGGAAAGTTTTTAGAACTTGAGAAGTTAAAGGAGATTTAAATAAGATATATTTTGATGGAAGAGACTATATGTTTTTATTTCTCACTTTGCCTAATATAAATTTAATAGTTGGCTACATAAATTTTTTTTTCTCCATTGTATCATTTTAAGAGTCAAATTCTTATTTAAATCTAATAAAGAAATGTCATTATTTCTCATATTTTATAATCAAGTTTTTCAGTTCTATCTTTACCATTCTTAATATAAGTCAAATCTAATACATCTACTCTCTTAATTGGATCACAAGGTTGTCATTTTAGTAACCAAACCATCTAAGGTGACTCTCTTTAATCTTATTTTTCATTGGAGCTACTCAAACCTTTCCACATATCTTCTTTAATAAAAAAGATTTAAAATATTTAAAAATACTATTCTAAAATTTTCAAATATTTTTTTTCTAGAGCATGCATCTAACCTGAAATTTTTATTTTATAACAGGAGCTCTATTTAGAGAACTAAAGCCTAAATAACAATGATATCAAAATTAAGTCCAACTTTTAAAACATATTTAGAAACATGATCAAGCAGTTGATATTTTATTTGTATTGCAAATTCGAACGCGCGTGTAAATGTATTAACATTTGTATTTTAATACTCATCATCTAAAAAAAATGGTTATTTGTCAGAATAAAAAATAAAATATAGAAAATAGAAGATCAAAATGCTTAAAATAAAAAAAAAAAGATATTTAACTAAAATGAAAAACACATTTTGTCCTCTCAAACATTTTTGAAAGACCTCTATTTATCTATTTTCTGAATGTCTGATGTTTCATGCTAGCACCATTTAGATCTAACTCTTCATATTCTAGTGCTCGATTGCTGGATTGATTTTTCTTTGATTATCTTGTCGTGTTGTCTATGTTCATGGCAAGTTGGTGCCCCTCTTCGATTTGTTGGTTTAGGTCAATGGTTATTTTGATTTCTATGTCATTTTTAGCAGGATTTTGCTTCATGTTGTGGTTGCATATTGTGGGTGGTTCGTTTTCTATCTTGAGTTGATTCCTTTGAAATTTATTGTTTTATTTTTGTAATTCTAGATAAGGAATCATACATTCTATTGTAGCTCTTTGATTAGTAGAGAGTTGTGGATTCATTTTAAGAACTATGTAATCTCCCTTTTTGATGAAAAAAAAAATCATATTAACTAATATATATATATAACACGCGAATATATATTCATTTTAAGAACTATATAATCTCCCTTTTTGTCGGATATGTGCGTCGTAAACTTTCGACACATATATCGCCGAAATAATCGGTTAAGAAACGACGTTTTGGCTGACATATTTTGCGTCGATAATACGCCGGAAAGGTTTCCGACGTCTTATAAACGTCGGATTGAACATTCTCTATGAGTTCTTGTTTGTACATTTGGAAATGTCTTGTTATTTGGAATCAATCTTGGCTCATTGTATCTTAGTTTAGGCTTGATTTCATATGGTTTATTAAAGTCTAAGTCCTTTGCATTTGTCCAAGTTTTGGTCAAGTTATTCGAGTTTAATTCGGGTCCTATGTAGTCTCATTCAATTTAAGTCATTATTATCTCATTTAGTTCAATTTTAAATCAAAAATTTACAAGATCAATTGATGTTCAAATTGAATTAGAGTTTCTTTCATTTGTTCAAGTTAGAGTCCAAGTCTAACTCCCTTGTAGTCATATTAAGTTCAACCTTTGGTCCTCAACTTGTTTATTTAAGTTCAAAGCAATTCCCTTATTTTACTGGGAAATCTGGTAGCCTCCCGGCGTCTCCCTCGTTTAGGAAAAAATTAATGAGTCTAGGCCTCCCGTCGTGCTAAAGAAATGGGTGCACAGGTAGTGTCGGATGACACCGTGGCAAAAAATCTTCAATCCCACCATGTCAGAGAAAGGCGTGCATGAGACTTCGGGCACCTGTTTGAAAGCGCAGTTATTTCCCCAACGGCACTAAGGCGCGTACTGGTACTTATATTTTTATCCCGTCGTCCGAAGAAAAATGTGCACAAGACTCGCCTACCTTATTGTAAGCGCCGCATCGAGTTCCCTCCCACCACACTAGAGAAGCGTGCGCACTGCAAACATCAAAAATAGAACTTTTGGTACTATTTTAATTTGTAATTAATTATTTAATTTAACATTATGTTATAAAATAAAATAATTAATTAATTATAATTGATTTTAATTAATCATAATTAATTAACAGTAACTAAATATAATTAAATATAATATATTATAATTAAGTTAATAAAATAAAGATTAAGGTATAATGTGATCATGATTTATGAAGCATTAGAGAAGGATCCGCACAGGGTTTAGCCAAATCTTGCTAAATAGAATTAACAGAGACTTTTAACTCTCTTTAACATAGAGTTAAACTTGTCTATTTAAATGACTTGGCCGAAGAAGCACGCGAAAGGAAGGGTGACGGCTACATTCTTTTTTTTTTCTTTTTTTTTTGTTAAAACTCATAGAAAGGCCTACACGTTAATAACAAAAAAGGAGTTACAAGGTCCTTAGAAGGAGCCTCCGGCTCGCTAATGCCATTCCTTATATCCCGCTCGCTAATGCCATTCCTTTGTGACCAATAGCTTTCACCTCTTCTTGTAATTGTTTTTTCCTGTCAAAGTACTGGTTCATATTTTCAAAGGCTTCTTCTCCCATATTAGGCCTTAGACCTGAACCAATATACAACCAGAGCACAAATATTCACTCAGGAAATGAAGATCTGAACTTTTATGAACAACTTCTTCATACGCTGATATTTGACTTTGTATATATATGCTCTTGCATTATCATGGACTTCAATCTGAGTGCCACTCATAGTGTTCACTTAGTAGAGAATTTTACTACAACTGTAAACAAAAAAAGGCTTGTAAATTAAAAAAAATCAAACAGACCAAAAGAGTAGCCTCTAACATCAAAATGATTATATTCACTACAGAATTGCACTTCAGAAAATCAGAAAAGAAAAGGAGTCGAAGGTGCATGCAACCAAAATATCAAAAAAAGAAAGATAAATCACAAATATGAAAATAAAACATTGCAGAAATAGATAAAACACCATTAAACATCTTAGTTTACAAAACTTAGAGAGCGAGGAGGAAAGAGAGGGGGAAGGAGCTTAGTCTTCTTTGGAATCAATTGGTGTGCTTTGTTTACCTGTAACTGAAGGCAGCAAAGAGACAATTGGTGCTCTTGCATTATCATGGAATAGGTCAGTTTTTCGAATAAGACAAGGCTAAGAAGGTTTGAGAAAATATAGTTTGATGGAATAGACTATTTATTTTTATTTCTCATTTTGCTTCATATAAATTTAAGGAAATTCCTACTATTTATATTATATTAGTGATACCGCTATTAAGATTGTACCAACACATTTCAATCTCCTATCTTCTATTTTCTTTCATAAAAGTCATTAAATACTATTCTAAACTTTTCTAAACAATTATTCTGGAATAAGATTCTAGCTAATTTGTCTTCTCAAAAAATGTGAGGAGAAGAAGGTGAAGAATAGGTCCAATAAGGCATTAGATGCAGCAGAATTTAATTCTTTTCTTCAGTGGCAAGCAAGTGAACAAAACCTTTTGCTTATAGGTCTAGTTTTCTATGTTATAACAATTTATCGAAAAAAAGAAAAAATCCGAACGAGTTCATAGGACAACTTATTTATGATGCAATTGAATTGATCAAATCAAGATGGTGTTTTATTACACAGAAGTTAATCAAATCATTATATTTGGATTCACTATGGAAAAGTAAATATTTTGCCGTGGGTTTACTGCAAATTTTATAGCATATTATTTTTTGTCAAAAATGACAACATATTTGCAATAGAAATTTTTGGCGATTTTTTTGCAGTGGAGTTGAAGCAAATTGGCAACGAAATTTCTGCCGCAAATCTGACGCAAACTACCATATCTAACCAATTGATTAGGCAACCGTTTCATTTGTTCTTTCTATTCTCGACAACTCTTCTTTGACTTTGCCTCCGCGCATGCTAGGCTAGAGTCGCTAAATAACTTCTTCGTCTCCTTCGACAACATTCCTTCCTATCACATCGCCTCCCTTGACAACGTTCATTCCTGTTGCATCCGAAGTTACACCTCATCACAGTTCTTCTGTCGCAGCCGAAGTCACACCTCCTTCGTCAAAAACAGGAGCTTGGTCATTGCAAAGGTATTCATCTTTCTTCCTTTTGCACGCTTCTTTGTCCAAATCCGTAAATCGGTTGAACTCTCTCCCTATCATCGCTCATCAAAGATATGATTTTTACTGATAATATTCTTCTTCTTGAAAAGATAGAGAGGGAGTTGAAGGTAAACTTGAATTATAAAGACCAACCGTATAGTATAATTAGATGGATTGTGACTTTAGGCAAACAAGTCATTAATAAGAGCATGCTTTAGATATCTTAGATATATTGTTCATGATGATGATGTTGACCCCTACAAATCAATCCATGCGCAAAGAGGGCAAAATTGACGAATCAAGCAACGCATGTGTTAACGCGACACGTCACTAAAATGGTCAAACGACCTCCGATTGCCAAACAAACTGCACCGTTGCAATCAGGACATCAAGTTCGCCTAAGAGGAGATCTCTCGCAGTTAAATTGGATGAGATCGGTCCAAGGAAATGACCGACACCTGAAATTGATGTGTAACGCCCAAATGACGTCCAATCGCGAAATTGATTTCATTGTTACGTTCGGAGCGTCGTCAACACCCAAAAATCACTATCGACCTATTAAATTGGGATCATCTAAAAAGACGACATGAATCACGAGTTACAACGCGCAAATCTAAAAAATTAGAGCGTGACACCACCTAAATGACATCTGATAGCAAAAATGGACTTCGTCGTTGCGTTCGGAATGTCTTTAATACCCATGAGTGACAGTCAATTTGAACAATTTAAGTCACACAAGAAGATCGGCATGAATCTCGAGACAATGCGCGCAAATCAACATGTAAACTATGGGCAAATACAAAAGGGCTACGACAAACACAAGCTTCTACAAGCTACATAGAAGGCCCATCAAATATTCTAAAAATGCACTCACACATGCATTATAATATGTATACACACATACACAAAGAATTACATGTGCAATCATACACCTGTATGGTCCTTGACGAGCATAGAATGGGCACATAAGTGACGTCAGAGGATGCTGAGCGGGTTAGTAAATGAAGTCGAGTTCGAACCCGATCCTTCTATGTGGTTCAATAGAAGTCAACACGGTTCGAACTATCAAACAAATATACAACCACGGCATTAACCGAGATATTTATTTTAATATTATCATATTAGGCCCTTAAGACCCTAAATAAGAAAGATTCATTAATAAAAACTAAAGCTGGCAATGAACCCGATCATCTGTCAGCACTTAGACAGAGTCGATAATGTTCAATAAATAATTTTAAAAATGTCCCCTAAACACTTGCATGGGTCTACGCAAGCATGTTGTATTTATACATGTGACACCTGAGGATACTGCACGGGTCTAAATATGAACTTAAGATTAAGTCCAATCCTTCTCCTTAATTAGGATGACAATCAACACGACTTGAACCAATTAACAAATATATAGTCGTGGCATTGACCTGGATATTTGATTTTATATGTTCATATTAGTCATTCGAGGCTTGTGAACAATGAAAATTCATCAATAAAGACATAAAGCATGCAAAAGACCCGATTCTTGTCGACGAGATGGCAGAGTCAACAAGTTTTAATCAACAAAATGAAATTCCCCATAACCACCCCGATGATGTCCGTGTCAAATATAGATCTCAACTAGAAGGGTTAACTCCAAATATTCAAAATATCACCCAAATGTTCATGAAAGGCCAAAACTCCAAAAATGTCAAAACCTTAAATATTTAAAATTAAAATCAATCATCAAATTTTTAAAGCGAAACTCACCCACCATCCGCAACATTCGTATTTGATGATATCCTTTGTGCAAGTCAATTTTTGAAAATATCGTCGCATCATGTAATTGATCAAAAAAATGATCGATGCGTTGAATAGAAAATTGATACTTCATTGTAACTTTATTAACAACCTGGCTGTCGATGCACATCCTAGGTTCCATCCTTTTTTGGAACTAACAAAGCAGGCACAATGCAAGGGCTGGCACTCAGTCGCACAAAGCCGTTGGATAGAAGCTCCTCAATTTGTCATTTGAGCTTAGCCTGCTCGTCTGGTCTCAGCCTGTAGATGAGACTGTTTGGGATTACAGCTCCCAGTATAAAATCTATGGTTTGTTGAATTCCTCGCAGGAGTGGCAATCCAGAAGGAATGAAATATGTTAAGATGACACTGTAATCATTTAAAATTTCTTGTACGGTTGTTGGATTGCTCATCACCCTCAAAAGTTCCAATGGAGAAATTGACAAGACACCACTTGGAGACTTGAACCTCGTTTTCTTTATGAATCTAGTAGAGTGTGTATGATTTGGGGTGATCTTCCGTCGATAGCTTGAGCTCTTCAACCATCGTGGTGGACACCACATTCTCACAACTTCCACTATCAATTATCATTTGGCATACTATTCCGCCAACAGTGCAAAGAGTTTGGAAAATATTATGGCGCTAACAAACATCTTTTTTGTGTGAATTTAGTAGCCGTCGAAGAACCAACAAATTCTCATTGTCTGTGAAAATGATGGTAGTTTCTTGAGGATGCCACTGCTCTCGTTCAGAAGATTCTAAGTCATAATACTTCATAAGGGAGATCACACGGCGGTTGGGACACCCCAAGTCTATGTGGCCAAATCTATGGCACTTAAAATATTTGCTTGACGAATGTCCAGTAGCAGGGGCCCAATTTTGCCCACTATTATTAACATGAAATTCCTCTTTTGTCAAGGAGCTGCTTCCACCATCAGATTTCTTGATTCCTCCTTTACTTCTTTCACCTTCATAGATGGGTTTCCTGTTCTAGAATATATTTCCTTGGATTTGCTGTTCTTCCACTCTCAAAGCTAAGTTGATTGCATCTTGCAAGGTTCAATAAGGTTGAAGTTGAACCACGTCTGCTATAGAGACACATAATCGATGGAATGTATTGTTCCACAGCAATGTATTGTTCCACAGTAAGTTGATTCTGTTGCAGTCGATGGAATTTTAGGAATAGCTCTTGACGATATTGTTTGGGAAAGTATTTGCGCTGCAATTCTTTCTTCATCTTGGCCCACATGGTGATCTTGCCCCGACCTTCTCGGTTTCGATTTCGTTTGAAATTCTCCCACCATAAGGAGGCACTCTTCTTGAGTTTAATTGCTACCAATTTGACGATTCGATCAGGCAAAATGTCCTTAAAATCAAGAATTCGTTCTATCATTTGTATCCAATTCAAAATTTCAGTAGGGACCATTCGCCCATCGAAGTCGGGTAGCTCATTCTTGACTCCACAATCATTCGAACCACCCCGCCTATGGTGGTCTTCTTCCTCGTCGGTTGAAAGATCTTGATGGAAGGGGTTGATATCTTCTTCTCCTTCTTGCCTTGCAACTACTTTCCTTTCTTCAAACCGAGCTCAGCATTGCTGTAGCTATTGGATTTCCCTTTGTAGATTAGCAATCACCAGTTCTTGTATAGTTCGTTGCTGATTTCAACGAGTTGGCATCTTGCTAGCTCTAATACGAAATGATACTGCTACCAAGAAAAGAGAGTAGTCTAGTGAATTTCCTAGGCGTGATGTCTCTCTTTGAGAACCAAAGCCATCACCTGAAAATGAATTCAGGATACAGAAAATAACAAATAAACATAATAAGAGAATTCTTGCCAAAAAACATCCTCTCATTCCCAACGGGACAAATATATATATATACACGGATGTGAAGGACGATATAGAGCAGGCTATATGGTTACTACTAAGCTACAACTAAAACTAAAGGTTTCAAACATAGCACACATGCTAAATAAAAGAAACAAAGTAAATCAGCACCGCCGTCACTGAGGAAGCATGATATTGAGCTAATAAGAGCTCTGTTTTATTTGCAACTTCAAAAGCCTGGGCTTTATTTTGTTTATACCATCTAAAGTCCGGGAAATAGTTTAGTTAGAAACTTATAACCACCTATTAATAACATATTAATAACAAGGAGGTTATGTTAGTGTAGATCTATAAAGAAATTGATGGTTGTTGATAGGGTGGATCGAAAAAGAGCATAGGATGGACAATTATACTAACTTTGTGATGGTTCCTTCGAGAGGTAGAGAGAGGGCTTAGAAACAACAGCAGGAAAGCTTCCATAGCCGTCTCTTAGGTGGGGCTTTGCTCGGCAGTGTCTGTCGAAATAATTTTTTATTCTCGAAGTACGTATCAATTTTTTCGTAGGCTTCATCTCCAATGTCTGCTTAAACAAGGAAATGAATGTCTGCACAACCATCAACAAAGAGAGCTTAGAAATAATAGCAAGAAAACTTACTGGCCATGCATAACTCCTCTTTCATCATTCCGCCAAAGGCAGTTACTCCCACAGTTGGAAGATCATTATGAACTTCAAATTGAGAGCCACTCATGGCATTCACTTAGTAGAGAAATTTATTACAACTGTAAACAAAAAAAGTCATGTAAATGTATAAGGAAAAAAAATCTACTGCACAACAAAAAATCAAAATGATTATATGCATTATAGAATAGCACTCAATGAAAATCAGAAAAGAAAATGAGCCGAAGGTGCAACCAAAAATATCATAAAGAAATAGCAGAAGTATGAACACCATTAAACATCTTAGTTTTGAGTTGGATATTACAAGCAAGAGAGTGAGAGAGGTAAGGGAAAGGAGTTTATTCTTCTTTGGAAACAATTGGTGAGCTTTGTTTACCTATTACTGAAGACAGCAAAGAGCCCCTTTTTATAGAGCGGAAATTTTTTTTGTATCACCTTACTACTATATATTGTTGGAATAGTAAGGCTTTAGAATTAGACAAGGCTAAGAAGGTTTGAGAAAATATAGTTTGATGGAATAACTATTTATTTTTATTTCTCATTTTGCTTGATATAAATTTAAAGAAATTCCTACTATTTATATTAGTGGTACCTCATCAAATATTATTAATATATATTGTTGGAATTAATAGGTAAGTTTTTCGAGCCGTTTTTTTAAATATCTATATTTTTAGGATGATGTCTTCATAGTACAACAAGATTTATAGACATTCATACTTAAATACATAAATACTGTGATGAAAAAAAATCAGAAATGATTTTAATTTTGTATAGTTAAAAATTACTTTATATTTATCAATGAATTGTTTCTACAAATTTTAATTAAAGAAGCTTATATTTCTTCCTTGTGATAGTTAAATGGAAAGTGTGTAATTAACTATTTTCAAAGGTGAAATGGCAGAATTTGCTGCCCCCACCAAGCATGTCCATGGATGTGAGGAGAAGAACGTGAAGAATAAGTCCCATAAAGCATTAGATGCAACAGAATTTAATTCTTTTCTTCAGTGGCAAGCAAGTGAACAAATTTTCTATGCTATCACAGTTTATCCAAAAAAAAAAAAGACATGGAACTCGTTACAATTGTTGGGTTTTTGAAGTAAACCACGCAATGAAGCAAACAAGAACATAAAAATAGAGGAAATAAAAGGAAATTAGGATTTAATGTGAAAAATTTTGAATTAGGAAAAAAATCACATGTAGAGCCACACCACATCTAGAAATCCACTATGAAAATTAAGAGAAATAAATACTAATCTCTATTCTCTCTCACACTCTCCTTGTTTCCCTTCTCTCTTATACCGCTCTCACACAAGAAACAAAAAAGAAAAGTAAGTATATTACACTAAGGGATGCCACCCTAAAGAAAAACTGTCCAATCTGCCTCTCAGTGTTGTGGCGTCAGTTTGGAGCATTGCGGTGCTAAACACTCTATCTCCAGTCTGTCTGACTGCATTACACATTGAATATAGAGCGATGTGATGCTCTATTCTCTATTTGATTTAGTAGATAATTGTCCAAGATTGTGGCGCTCGGACGCATAACATTGCGACGTTCAGACATATAACATTGCAACACTTGGACACATAACATTGCGACACTCAAACACACAACACGGGGAAACGCCTAATTGATCAAACCAACCAAATTCCACATAGAACTAACAACAATTATTTTTGCGCGATTTCGAGCTCTTTCGCTTTTGAAACCCCCCTTGCGCGGTCGACTCGACCCGACACTAGTATGAGGGTCAACAAGTATGTAATTACTATATTCAAAGGTGAAATGGTGGAATTTGCTGCCCCCCCCCCCACCAAAAACATATATGATGAGTAATATATATATATATATATATATATATATAAATTTTGAACATTTTTTACATATATGATGAGTAAAAAATATTTTAAAATTAATAAGTTTTCTTTGAATCAACTCAAAAGACTGCTTGAATTCGATTATTGTACAATAAGATAATTGATAATACATTTAGAATATGGACTTACAAGTTGCAATAAGAGTCCTTTAAAAAGATTGAATTACAATATTGACAATTTAGTCACAACTTAAGATGACTTATATAAGTTATATTTGATTATGTTCTTGCAAGTGGTGTTCAATCTTTAATAAGAGCTGCTTCGATATCTCAAGCTTATCGCCCATCATATATTCATGAGTAAAAAATACATCATCTATTCCCGCATGCTTATTGAAAAGCCAAATAGAAGTTAGGAGCTCACCTCCCCTACTCAACTGCTTCACATGCACATCAGCCCTTGAACTATTCGCCCCCTTCATTAGAAGCTCCACCCATATCATAGTCAAAACATGCCATCTCTCTTCATCCCCAATAGTAAGCATCAAATGAGCAAGCGCACGTGCTGTTACAAATAAAGATTTTTCATTGGTCCACTCTATTGGAGTAGTCATTATCTCCCTACACACCTTAACTTCTGCATTTGGCAATAACAAGTGTTGAACATCAACATTTCTATAAATAAATTGAACCATATCATCAAAAGCATCCCAAAATACCATCGGGCTCCTTCCTCTCATGGTAAGCATCATGTTAGGTCGCATCAACACCATATGCATCATATAGTTAGACAAGTACTTACAAGCTTCCATCTCAACACTATTTCTCATTATTCCTCTTGATCTACTTTCATCCACTTCAATCTCTATTTGATTATAATATATTGGATGTAGAGACTTCGGCCAGTGAATACAGAACTCAGTGGTCATGTGCCATATCAGAATTTGTTGATCAAGTGACAAACCCTCTAAAAGCTCAAAACATGTCGGGAAAGCCCAAGGTATTTTTTGTTGAAGAAAAGAGAAGCCCACTGGTTTGTTGAAATCCTCAAGTAATAAAGGCAAGCATCTTTCTGCATAGGAAGCAATGATATTCATGAGTCCTTGGTTTGTTTGTTCTGGCTGCAATGCCCATAAGGTGTAAGTTTCAAAATCCTTTCTCCAACGTAAGCGCAACTTTATCTTCCGCACTAAGCCAAACTTTTCTGAAATCCAGTTCATCATCCTTTGCCTAGGAGCTTCATTTGGTGTAGAATTTTTTAGGCAACTATGGAGAAGATTCAACTGTGGCATCTCTAATGAATGATACATTTTCTTATGCCATGCCATTTTAATTTTGACAATGTGATTAGCTAGCGACCTGCTCCACTTGCTCAACCGCTTAACATTAAGGAGGGAAACCACTATCCAATTTGAGAACACGAGCATGATAGTAGCTAAGCAATCGAGGCATAGCGATGCCGCAAGCAAAAAATAGGTAATGACCACATCACGTTTGTCAAAACCATCTTTCGAATCAATGAAAAAGAATAAAAAAGACAATACAATACAGATGGAGCAGAATAATCGGAGAATGTACCCATGTTTAGAGTGATTCACAACGGCCTTGGTGTAAAGCTCATCATATGCATAACTAAGCTCCATACTTGTTGTCTTTAAAACCTTCTCTGCTGACATCTCGAAGACAAGATCTTTAAATTTAACATAAACCTCAGAACTTGGAACGGCATTGATGAAGAAAGGCTTGCAAACAGAGTATAACCAAAAAGCATGATTCAAATCATTCAAATCTTTTGTTGGTACTTCTCTCTCAAAGGAGCTAATGGACTTGAGGAAGCCTTCAGTGCTAGCTTTGTAAAGTGAGTAAGAGCGCTCTATGTACTTAATGACGGCGACTATGAATATCAAGAGAGTGGGTGTGAGTAGGCGAGTGTTTGGAAGTGAGCGGATGAAGACATACAAGGCAACAATAAGCTCGTAGCCAAGGCCGAGAAGATGGCGAGCCCAAAGCTCGTTATCTTCCATCGAATAGGCAGTGATAGTGTCGGGGCCACCAAGATGGAGAATAAGAAAGGGAGCCCAAAATGCGATGATAACATTGGAGGAAGAGGAAGAATCATCCATGGAGTTGCTTAGTTGGCCGAGGCAGAAGTCAGCAACCCAATCAGCGAGGAGGTAGTTGCACCACACAATCATTCGTATCCATCTCAAAGCAGATGTTTTTCTCAAGTGACTGAGAAATATGAGGATGATTTGGATGGATAGGCTGAGTAAAATTAGGACACGAACATCCCAGTCTTTCCATAATTGCTTGTATTTCTCTGGGAAGTCCATTGCTCTCTTGAATGTTCAAAAATAACGGATAATGAATGATAATACTTTAAATCATAAATTATTATATTTAGTAGGGATAGTTTTTTAACCATAGATATTTCATGAAGTATCATAATTTACCTTAATTTTTATTTAGGGAAATTTTTTTTCAAAATAAGTATTAAATAAAAATAGATACCTTATAATTAAATTGCACAAGAAATAATCAAATATGGGTGATTAGGTTAGTAGATTGCCTAATCAAGCCACTACATATTTTCCAAGAAAAAAAAACTTAGGTCAAGATATCCAAATTAAATTTGATTAGAATGGAGAAAAAAAATGTTTTAAGATGAGTCTAATTCAATTGTTGATTAATTATTCATATATAACACCCACCTCAAAGCAAATACAGTAGTTTAAAAACCCATCATAACCAAATTTTGATAAGGATATCTTAACCCAAAATTTTTCATCATAATTTATAAACTTGGCCTCTTGATAAAGTGAACACTCAAAACAATATAATAGCTTAAATTGTAAGGCAAACTTAGACACTAACCAAATAAGTTGACTATACGTGAGTTGTAGGGACTTGCCTATTAAGAGCACTCTGATAAATAGACAACAAAAACTACAGTGGTGGCAATCAAATTGAATGAAAGTCCTAACAACTTCTATCATATATACCACCAAAGCTTGAGCATAAAAGCAAAATATAATAGCATGCAGGCAGAGAACCAAAACATACTTGGATGCAAAGCAAGAGATATAGTTTTTTTGTACTGCATGAAGAAAAGGATAAAGCAAATCTCAATACAAGGCTAGGGATAACTAAAGCAATCTCATATGAATATGACAGCAGAAAAAAAAAATGTTCGTACTCCGACGCTTTCACATCATTTGATTCAGTAATTTGATGAGCCAAAGTTTAATCAATGACATGAAAAGTAGCAAGGAGACAGACAAATGACGTGATACTTACTATATTGATAGCTGATCAATAAAATGATTATCATCATCATAACGTTAATCTTTTAATAAATATTTTGAAAGAAATTTGGTTAATTATCATTCGTCGTTCGTTCTTAATAAGGGATGCAGAACTGCATCAACATTGACCAGATGAAATTACATTAGTTTGTGATACGCCTTGGTTGCACAAGATTAGGGTTTGCCCTAATCTCCCTTCAAGGTGGGAATTTCTCCACCAAATCAAAGTCAACACAAAACAAGAAGGATGAGAGGAAGAACAAAAGAGCTTTGCATTAATCCTCAAGACAAAACAAAAGACAAAGCTAGTCCACTTCGAGAAGGACCAAATCTCCCAAAAGAAACCCTAGAGGAAACAAGAAGGAAAAGAGAAAGAACTTTCTTCACATCCCCCTAAAAATAAGCCCTAATGGCTCTTTTCATACCACCTCACCACTTCCCCCTCTTCCCCAAATTACCCCCCATCATCCACCCTCCAATTTCCCCCCAAAAGCTGGCCGCCCCCCTTGGATCAGAAATTTCAAATAGGTGGGCTATATATATATTATTTTGGTATCATGATTGTATCAGATACTAATATGTTTTCATTGTAATCATATTACTATGGGTTTATTTTTTATTACTATGGGTTTATTTTTTGCATTCAAATTATTTGAATAAACTTACAACATCGAAATTATTTTGAGAATGTTTTTCAAATTTGAACATTCTCATAATTGTTTTTGAATAATTGAAATCTCTATGATTATTGTAGCTTAAAATGTCATTTTATTTTGATTGCTGTAGACTATTAGTTGTTTGCCTATTTTCATAATTTGAATGCTTTAATATTTGTTTTGTGGTTTTCTTATATTAATTGTTTTATATCAATTTCTCTTCAAACAAATACAGTGAGACTAATTTCAATTCAATTACTTCTTTCATTAGTATTTATATTTCCTCTCCATTTCATCTCTTTCAACATCCTGGAAGCCAACAAGAGCAAAATAGACTGAAACTTTTACCTGCGGAGAAGCTGAAAATTGCAACTTTTCCCGAAAAAGCGGTAATTAATTTGCCAAAGAAGCCGCACTGAAATCCTTGCTACTCGAGCTCAGACCAATCAATCCAGCGAGAATCAGGGACAAATGGATGGGGGAGGGCAAAATTAATCTCAGAAATGAAGCGCCACCCGCGGAGTCCAGGCTTTGGCCTAGGGTTGCCTTCCCCCATTGATTCATCTCAAGCTTCTACTTGTCTTTTCTTGCAGAGCCCATTTGGTATATGGGTCTACGCGGTACCAGGATTTAGCCTAAATCCAACAGAACAGCAAAAATGGCAACTTTAAACCCTATAGACGCCTTCTCCTGCGAGCTCCTGTCGCGACTTCCTTGCATCATCGTCGTTGAGGAAAAAATAACGCGATCGTCCTGTATGAAATAAAAATATATATTATTTTATTTTGATAAATTTTAAGAATTTTAAAAATTATTAACATTAATTAGTATTAATTAAATAAATATGTTAATTATATATATTTAAATTATTAAATGAATTTTAATATTTAATGAATTTAATAACTATTCATTAATGTGTAATGTGAATATTAATCTCAACCAATTCTAAATTTTTAACGTAAGATGATTTGATAAAAGCTTTAGTAAGAAAAATCATTAACATCTTAACAATTTCATTTAGATACATATATTAACTAATATATGTACGTACTAAATGCTTATTAAATAATTAATTTTACCACGACAATTAATAGTATATCTTAATTATTATTTTTTTTAATTAAATTTGTTTAATATACAAGTTATTAATTAGTTAACTTAATAACTCACTATTAATGATTAATTAAGATATTTAATAAAAACTAGTATTATTTAATCAGCATAATTAAGGTTGACATAAGAAAAATTAAATAATTTAAATTTTAAATCCTTAAAGAAATAGTTAAACAATATCTATCATACCAAATAGTTTTTAAGACTTAGAATTTTATAAATCCAAATTTATAAGATTTTCTTCCCTTGAGAGAGGTGGTTGAATGAGGTTTTCCTCAATGCGTTAGGTAAATACTATTCATTTTTGTAGAGCAATTGCTAATCAAAGAAGCTCATTTGATTTAATATTGTGTTATAAAATCTCATTGGATGGGCTTCAAATGAGTCGAGTTGAGCTCGAGTCATCTTTGACTTTGAACCTAAATTTGATTAATTAATTGAGCTTGATCTCAAGCTCAAATTTCATTCTATGAGTTCAAGTTGATTCAAGAGTCGGCTCATTCGCTATAAAAGATAGAAAATAATTATGATTCAGGTAATTATTAAAATAAATTAATGAAAAAAATTAGAATAAAAATTATAAATAATCAATTAGTATAAGAAAGTAAAATATAATTTTTAAAAATCTATTAATAATTTTTACTCAAATCAGCTAAAAACCTATCAAATGTAGCTTGCTTGGTTCAATATTTTCTTAACAATATGAACAATTATTAGGTCAGGTGACCTGACGTATCTCTACGTTCGGACGTCAATAATATTTTTCCACGTGCTCTTACTCTTTAACGCGCGGCCCGATGATCCGACCCGGACCATAACCCGGGATTGCTATGTTCGCGTATTGCTCAGTATTGCTTTGTATTGCTCGGTATTGTTATGTATTGCTTGACAATAACGAGAAATACCGCTCTGTCAAGTCCAATACCGAGCAATACCGAGAAAAACTCGGTATTGTTCGGTATTGGTCATCACAGAATGATATTTCTCATTATTGACGAGCAAAATCGACCAATACCTAGCAATACGCGAACATAGCAATCCCGAGTCCGTTCCGGGTCAGGTTGTCGAGCTGCACGATAAATAAAAGAACTTTAACAGGAAGATAAAAGCTGAAAGCAGAGATAGAAACAAGGGAGAAGAAGATGATGCAGAGAATGAAATCTTCTGGTATTTTCATTAACTCAAAGTGTGGCGGATACATTCGTTTTTATAGAGTCATAAGAGAGACAGGTAGTTGCGATGTCAGGCCGCCGTTAGCTGCAGCAGAATATGCAGGCGTCGCAGGGGATGGTGTCGCCGGAGCTGCAGGAGATCGTGTTCGGTGAGTTGTGCCTGCGGAGCTGTGTAAGGTGTGTTAACAGCCCCCTTCAAAGTGACGATCTGAGTTGCAGATAGTCAGTTTGCTGCGTAGATTGGTGAATCTTTCGCCAGTGAGTGGTTTGGTAAGAATGTCCGCCGGCTGATCAACAGAGCTGATGTGATTCAGCGAGATGGTTCGGCGGGTGATATGATCACTAATGAAGTGGTGATCAATTTCGATATGCTTTGTGCGGGCATGGAAGACGGGATTATTTGCAAGGGCAATGGCCGAGACATTGTCGCACATGATTTGAGTAGGAGCTAGCTGTGTTGCCTTGAAATCATTCAAGAGACGTCGTAACCAGATGACGTCGGATGTCACCGCAGCAAGAGCGCGGTATTCAGCTTCAGTCGACGACTTGGCCACTGTGGACTGCTTCTTAACACTCCAAGAGATGAGATTGGGACCTAGGTAGGCACAGAAACCAGAGATGGATTTGCGATCTTCGGAATTGGATGCCCAGTCCGCATCGGCATATGCTGTGAGGGTGAGAGCTCCCTTGGAGATTTGCATACCGTGGGATTGTGTTCCTTTGATGTATCGGATGAGACGCTTAAGGCGTTTGAAGTCAAAGATTGTTGGACTATGCATATGTTGGCAGATTATATTAGTTGCAAAGGCAATGTCCGGTCGTGTCACAGTGAGATATTGCAGTGAACCTGCTATCTGGCGGTAGAATGTTGGATTGTCATACGGCTGAGAGTCGGTTAAGGATTTGATTTCCTTGAGAGAAATGGGAGTAATCACTGGCTTGGAGGAATCAAGTCCGGCAGAGTGAATGATATCCCTGGCGTAGTGAGCTTGGTGTAGGAATAGACCAGTGGCAGTGGTTTGTATTTGAATGCCTAGGAATAAATTGGCATTGTCAAGTTGTTTGAGTGAGAAGGTCTGTCTGAGTTGAGCGAGGAGTTGCTGGAGAGTATGCTTATTATTGCCGGAGATGAGAATGTCATCGACATAAATGAGTAGGTACAGCTGAGTGTCGTTTTTGTCGTAGATGAGTAAGGAAGGATCAGCTTTGCTGAAGTGGAACCCGAACGCTTGGAGAAAGGAGGTGTGTTTGT